AGAGAGAGAGAAAGATTTGACTTGACTGGTTTTCTGTTAGTCACACAATAGAGAACAACGAATGAATGATATACTATGAAAAAGAATAATACGGACAATGACTGATGACCAATGTTTTTTGGTTTAATGTATCTTACTTATATTAGACAAAAGCAATAATAATAATAATAATAATAATAATAATAATAATAATAATAATAATAATAATAATAAGAGGAAGAGGACGTAGTAATAGAAATGGGAAATGCAAAAAGGTATACATAAGATGATATCCGCGTAAAGAAAAATCGGTTAACCGGTAATCGTGTATTGCAACTAGGTGAACAACTCCGCCATAGCCTGTTTATAGGGAACTGTTATATGCATTGGCATGCCGTCGCGTCGCGGTCGGTTTGTACTACTATACTGAAAAGACCATAATCTACCTTGCAATGCCAATGACTCAGAACTTTGTTAAGATACTTTTAAATACTATTTACGTAAAAGTCATTCAAATATTTTTTGATTTTTTTTTTTTTTTGATTGTTCTTTTCCTTTTTTTAACATCCACACACACACACACACAACGTATTTTTATACAATTCACAATAACTTTGTATTTATATATAATTATAAGTTATATATACACATATGAAATTAATTATATTTATACATATTATAAGAATTAATTATATATTAATTAATTATAAATTATATATAATTTTGTATTTATATAATTTCCAATGGAACAAAAATTATTCGAATAATTTAAATTGATATATAATATTAATTATTATTATATATATATATGTAACATATATATTTTATATTTTATTTTATTATTATTATTATTATTTTCATATTTACTAATATTATTAATATATAATGCATTTAATTAAAACATTAAAAGAGAATTAATATTTATTTTATTAGAAAATATTTTAATAATTTTTTATATTATTATAAATATAATATATTTATATTTTACTTTTATAATATATTATTATGGTAAATATAAATAATATAATTATTAAATATTAATATATTCATATTATATTAATATTTTAGTTTATTATTAGTATTTTAATATTTATTAATATTATTAATATATAATATATATTTATTATAAAATATTAAAATAATATTAATTAATTAATATGTTAATATTATTTTAGTATTTTATGTTATATTATATATTTTCTTTTATTATTATTATTATTATATTAATATATATATATATACGTATAATAATTATTCACATATTAACTAGATTGGTAAAAAAGCATTATGTTCAATAATCGTCGTAATTTGAAATTAACATTACGAAGGTAAAATCGAAACAATAATCAATATGGTTAATATATCTTTGGGATCGTAGTTTTACGAAGCAATTACTGTTATTATTACTTTACGGTTAACGGGCAAATGAAAAGTATCAAAAGAAATTGACCACACACGTACGCAATGTCACTTCATCGATATTTACTACTATCTAAAACTAGGGCACGAATGCAGTTCATTTTCCATAAATAGTTTTCTCGTTGTTGGTGTTTGCCGTCGACTCGAACATGAAATCATATATACCTGTGATCGTTGAAATTCTATTAGTCGGTTTCTAACAGTTATAACGGTCGATAATCTTCATTCGTAAAGGAAACCTAGTGAGAAAAAGGAAGAAATAGAGAGAGAGAGAGAGAAAGAGAGATTCTACAAGATTTTATTCAAATATTTCTACTCTCGATCTCGTGGATTTGAAATATTTTTTCTTTTTTTTTTTTTTTTTTTGTAGAATTTGTCAAGAATTCAATTATTTTAGAATAGATGAGAAACAACAATCGTGAAATCGTATTAGTTAGTTCTTTCATCGCTTTCACCAATAACAAATATTTTCGTGAACGATAAAAAAGGAGAAGACAAAAAATAAAATAAAAGAAAAGAAAATAACAAAAATGTGACACACACACACACACCCCTTGAGGAGAGTAAGGAATAAAAAAAAAGGAATTTACGATCAGGTAGGGGATCGATTAAATTATTTTATTACCTTACTTTCGTCGTGCATCGTAAATTTTTAATGTAAGCTCGTTTTAGGTTTGAATGTACAAAAAAAAAATAAAAATAAAAAAATAAAAAACAATAAAAAATTATGAAAAGAAACGAAAGGGTGGAGAAAAAGGAAAAATCATTATCCTGTCGCGACACAACAAAAAAAAAGTGATTTGAAATTTATGCTATACATAATTAACAATAAGATAAATTATTATATATATATCGAGTAGAATGTGTGTAATGGTTTTACGAATCGTTCGACAGGTGAAATGGCGCGAGCGAATCAAGGCTCAACGACCATAGATTATAAAAATGATTGCCACACGTATGGCAATTAGTCGCGCTTGCTATAATTATAGCAATTATTTTCCATAGCCGTTCGATCGTCTATAAAGTTTCGTTATTTTACCGATAAAAGTTTCTTTTATCGTGAATTATAGTATATATATATATATATATATTATATGTTATATACAGTGTCTCTCGATTAGAAAACTAGAAATTTATTAGCGATTACGCGAGAGAAAGAAATGAAACGATAAAGAATGATATTCAAGTACTAATAGTTTACCGATTACAATATAATTTTTCTTTGTTAAAATTATTTGTATAATTAATCAATTAGAACATGCATTTTATACATCTCACTATCAGGCATAATATATTCGTTTTTTACTATGAAGATTAATTTAAAGTAAACATCAATTGATTTCTTTATCGGAACGGTAAATTTGTTTGATCGGTTCAATCTTTTTTTTAATATTATTACAATTATAAAATTGTATAATATCTTTGATAAGATTTTGAAAAAAAGGATAACTAATTATATTATATTATTTTGTTTATGTATTTTTATAATATTATATATAATATAATACTAATTATTGTATACCATTATATTATTATTAATTATTATTATAATATATAAATCATATATTATTTATTTTAATAAAATATTATACATATAATAATTATTAATATAATATTATAAATTAAATAATACAAAATAATATTTATAAATTATATATAAAATATTAAATATATATAATATTATAATATATTATATATAATATAATATATTTCCAAAAGACATAAGATTATAATAAGATTTTCTTACTTTAAATTTTCTATTCGAAAATATTTTTATATAATTTATTTGTATAACATATATTTCACTAGTATTATTTTATAAAAAACGTTAGTTGTGTGTATGATTTTTTTTAGGATTTTAATATGATTAATGATTATTAGATTGACAAAGTTTACGATCTTTCATGTCAGATCGTGTTAAATGATATCAATAAGATGAATTGTTTTAGAATAACTCGATACAATTCGAATGACGATCGATTTTATATACCGGAAGTTCAAATCTTCAACATGCACGTGACTATGCTCTTATTTTGTTATATTTATAAACGCAAGTGACTGACTGACTGACTGACTGACTTACTGACTGTCTGACTGTCTGACTGACATGAGATCTCGACTGATCAATTCAAGAAAAACCGTTATTCATCGTCATCTCATCGTTTTACTTCGCTTCAGGACAACTCTTGCTAGTTTTTGGAGAGAAATTTACGACACTTGAAATCTATACATGGAAAGGATGACGGTTTCGCTCACTATATGTCTGGCCATAACATTCCTAAAACCGTTATAACTAAATTCTCAACGATCTTACCTACGAATCTGATGAAAGAATCAAAAAAAAAAAACACTGGGAACAAAACTGTACGAAGAAAGGAAAATAAAAAAAAAAATCGGAACGCCAGACTTTTTTTGGTGAGAATTTACGTCTACGAATTAGATGAAGAAAAAGGAACAAAAAAATGGGGGACCAAACTAGAGAGAAAGAAAAATAAAACAAAAATCTGGACGCCTCTTTTTTTTTTTAATTTAAAATTTAATTTTAATTTTAAGTTAAATTTATATCTAATTTTAAAAGAAAATTTACGTCTTACGTAATAACAAATTTATTGATTAAAATTCCAGTTATACAAATCGAACGAATTCTCGATTTACTGCATATTTTTTTCTTTTTTTTAAATAATAATTCTTCAATAGAAAATACAATGCATAACGTATTTAAAACATTTAATTAATATCTTAAACTTATTTCAACAATTTGAAAGAAAAATCTTAAGTTTTAACAATAAAATATTTATTAAAATTCCAATTACAAATTGAACGCGTTCTCGAAACATTGAATATTTTTCTTTTTTTTTTAAATAATAATTCTTCAATAGAAAATACTGTGAATTACGTATTTGAAAAATTTAATTAATATCTCAAGCTTATTCCAATAATTTCAAGGGACACCTGTTTGATATTACATCTAATTATATGGGGTAGGAATGGGGTTATATAATTTGCCGAAGTACATCCAATAAAATAGCTGATTTTCTCACACATCACGGAATGCTAACACCGTTCAACGTGTTGTCCTTGTCCTCCGTGGCATTTAAACACAAACCGGAAACACTTCACTGATCCGTGCGGTTCACGGGCATTTGACGTGCCAAGGGGAAGAATAAACTCAGAAACTGGACTTTCGGTGTAACCAATAAGAGAGTCACGAAGAGACTCATAAAAAAAAAACCAAAGATACCAAGCAAAAGTATGGATATACCCTGTTCATTATTTTAAAAAAAATCAAGTAAAGTAAACGAAAAAAAAAAGAATGAAAGAAGTTGTTAAAAGCTCAATCAAAAACGTTAGAAAAAAGAACAGAAAAAAAATAGGAATAAGTTTAAACAAACAAACAAGATCATTTCAATCTGTTGAACTAAGATTAATATAAAGAAACTAATCCTTGAACAAGTTAAAGGATAATGATAAAACCCAAGGTGAGAAAGGAAAAGAAAAACAATGGTTGGGTGGGTGAGAGTTAAAAAAAAAAAAAAGAAAGAAAAGAATTGGCAGAAGAACACTATTAAAAGAAGCAAATGAGAAAAGATCTAGTGACTCACCGTCCTTCCTATTAGAGGTGGCCTGTTTGATGCGTACAGCGGCCGTTGGACCGAGCAAAGTTAGAAAAGCCGCCAGGCTTAGCACCATATATAATCCTCGACAGGAACCCATAATTCAAATTCTTCTAAGTCTTGTTTTGGTCAAAGTATTCAAGAATGAAGTTGTTCTTCTTTTCTTCTTTTTATTTGAACATTCAGTAACAATTGTTGGTTTACTTCTTTGTTCAAAGATCTTCCAGTTCCTCTTAGTTGGTGGTGGTCGTTGTCGTCCCCGGGTATTGTGCGTGCACGCGCGCACACACTTGTCGTAGTTACTTTTGCCTTATGTATGCTCTCTTATGTTAGAGAAGCAAATTTCCCCCCGGATGAACGCGAGAAGAGGGACTTTCTTTCGCTTCTCTTCGAAAGCGTTTCGTTCGTACTCGCTGAGGCACTGGCTCGGCGCCGACTGAGACCGTCAGCTATAAACTTTGTGCCTCGTGCCGTTCGCCTCTTATATCAAAAGCGGGACTTACTCTACTGTCACTCTCCTCCTAAGAATTGGCGTTTCTTAACAGAGAAAACCTTCTTGTTTCCTACACTAAAACAAGCGAGCTAGCAAACGAGCAAGCAAACTTATCTCGCATTCGCGTATCTTTTTATTTAAATACGATTCAATTTTTCAAAGATATTTTATTTTTTGAGAAACCAAAATCAAAAAAATAATAATCGAAATTAACCAAAGATAATCAGGAAAGAAGAAGAAAAAGAGAGAGAGAGAAAGAAAGAAAGAAAGAGGGTAAAAAGATAAACCTTGGGAACAACGAAGTGGATAACGTAAAAAAACAAAAAAAATACAACACCGCGGATAAACTAGCACCAAATAAATAGAATTAATCGAAGTTGTCTCTCTTGTCGTTGGTTCGAAACGGGTGCCCACGGTACCGGTAAAAATTCCAAATAATAATAATTTTGTTTCCTTTCCAAGAAGAGACAGATGTATATTCTCTTCTCTCTATGGGGTTCTATCCGCAACCTCGGTACACCTCTCGTTACTGTTGCCTTTTGCACACCTATTTAAAACCTATCGCTCCACCTCACGCTCTTTACCATTGGCTCCTGCCCCAATTTCTTGCCCAATGATACACTCTCGAGCACGTTCACCTCCTTTTCAGATGGTAGAACACTATCCGTGAGAAAGACAGAGAAAGAGAGAGAGAAAGAATGAAAGAGGAAAAAGTGGAGGGAGGGAAAGGGAGAAACTAACTAACTAACGGGAAAAAAGAAACTGACATGAGTCGCACGCATAACCGAGCTAGAAAAAGACAGAAAGAAACGGACAGAGAAGGGGACAGTGAGGTACTAAAAATAAAACAAAAAAACTTAATTGTATCGAACAGGTGGTTGGTTTTGATCTAACGTGGTTGATAGTTTTAGGAATCAAGTGAGAATCTTTGTATGAACGGCGCCCCGTTATAGTTTGACGATATATGTTACTTATGGTTGGGTTTAGCAAAAGCAACACTAGATGTTCCCCCCTATAAGAGAATGAGCCAGGAACGGAGACACGTTCGTTGCATGGTGAAGGGGGTTTCGAGGTGGGGCTCCTATCGTACGACCGAGATATATCGATTCCCATTCGCTCTCTCTCTCTCTCTTTCTTTCTCTTTTTTCCTCGTTCTTCTTTCATTCGGTCTCTCTCGGCTTCGTTTCAACCGATCTCCTTCTCGTAGTTAATCGCGTTCGTGCAAAAAGCTGCACGACTTTTCGATATAACAACAATTGTTTTCTCTTCTAACGTTATTATTCACGAATTTAATCGTGGTTTTATATTATCTAATATGGGGACCTAGGTTACACCTTGGTTTATGGTTCTTTTTTGGTTTTAGGATTGTTTTTAAACGTTCACCGAAAAGTAACACTTATTGGTGACCAATGCGGCGCGTGTAACACGCGTGGAAACGCACCACGATCCACGGCCGATTGGACGGACTTTCAACACCTTTCATTTTCGTTTATGCTTGCGACCGTATCACTGAGAGATACGGAAAAGGAATAAGACGTTTTCTGGAAGATTATGATGATGATGATGATGATGATGATAATAATCCCATTTGATTCGTACCATAAACGTTTTATACGCCCACGGAAATTATAATAGAAAATTCTTTTTAGGTTTTCTAATAATACTGATACCTTGGCAATGAGTAAACTGTTTCGTTTGTAATTTTAACAAAACAAATTATATATATATATATTTGATTCGTACCATAAACGATTTATACGCCCACTGAAATTTTTTATAATACAAAATTCTTTTTAGGTTTTCTAATAACACAGATACCTTGGCAATGAGTAAACTGTTTCGTTTATAATTTTAATATAGCAAATTATGTATATACACCTTTATACATCAATCATGTTATTTATCTTAATCGTATCGTCCACCTTATTTTTGATCTATCCATTTGATATATTCTTTTTGGAAAAAAAAGTTCTCACTTTCTTTATGGTGAAACTTCCAACGTATTAAAACTTCGAGTAGTATACATATACTACCTGTTGTTTTAACTTTACGATGAGAGGGCATCGATCTTTGCAAATATCTCATAATTTATATTTCTAGGATAGTATCGGTAATAATAGTAATACCGGAGCAAGCTATTAAAGTCTTAATTCATTACGACGATAATTATAAGTGTTAGATATGAGCAAATCGCGCTTGGTTGCTAATTGTTATCGAACTTAACAATCGTTATCCTATTCTTATTTATTATTTATATTTTCTTTTTTATTTTTTATTAATTTTTCTACACGAGTGTGTATATTATCAAAGAATTCATGAAGATTGCTGGAAATAATTTTTTTATAAGACCACAACGAGAAACAATTATTCAATTAATATTACCGAACCTTTTGTAATTATGTATGATAATAAAAATAAAAACAAATAGTAATAATTATCATGATATAAACGAGGTTACGTATTTTTTTTTTATTGTTTGTTTTTATTTCTTATTATATTAATATCTAACAAAATTTCAATATTCTTGTCTATTTACTTTCCCTTTTACGAGTTCGAATTATTTCTCTATTAACACCATTTCATACTTATTCAATACTATCAAAGAAGTATTTCAAACGACTATTTGGAAATGGCAGCACATAGTTTTTTCTGAACAAGTCACCCATCCACATTTTATTAATCGTACCCCACGTTGCTTGACTTTAATTTGATCGGTGTGAAACTAGTTATACAACGTAAATAAAAATCACGATTGAATTTCAAAAAAATAAACAAAAATAATATAATAAAATATATTACATCTATATATATTAAAATTTGATTAAATTTTTCATTTATTATCCTTTATTATATTACATATATTAATATTTTGATTATAAGATTCAACGTCATTGCAAATTGTAGAAAAATTTCTATGCCAATTTGTTTCTTATCATTATTGTTGTTAAAAAATGTTCCAATGAATCGCAATAGCATTTGGTTTGATTAAAATAAACCTTAATTGATTTAACAAATGGTTTATTTTGACAACATTGTTACAGTTAATAACAAATAATCATCTTATTTCAAATGGACTAAATTTGAAAGGAAAAGTCCAGTAGCTTTGAGAAGAAGGAGAAGGAGAAATACACGCATATATACAGGTATGAATGTATATATATGTATGTATGTATCTATTTCTCTTACATATATAGACAATATCAGTAATCTCTTTTTCTCCCGAAGAGAAAAGCAAGCGAGCGGAACGATACGCTTGGCTTTTGCCAAGCGCAACAGTGAAATGCAATAGTCTTGGCACGCGACGCATTCTAATAACCTAACTCTATGATTTTACCTATCTTCTTCAATCATATATAATTGTGACCGTTTCATTTCTAAGATAAAGAAATAAAAAGAATATCTCAATTAACCCGAAAGATTCCCATGAACGAGGTAGATTCGAAATTTTTATATAGAAAAACTAATTTAAAAAAAAATAAAAAAAAAGAACAAGTATCTCAACTAACCCAAACCATTTCCATAAACAAAGTAAATTTAAAATTTTTATATAAAGAAATTATATATATGTATATAAAAATAAAACCAAAAAACAAGTATCTCAACTTATCCAAAAGATTCCCGTTAACGAGGTAAATTCGAAATTTTTATATATTAAAAAATAATTTTAAAAATTAAACTAAAAAACATGTATCTCAACTAACCCGAAAGATTTCCATAAACAAAGTAAATTCAAAATTTTTATATAAAAAAAATAATAAAACAAATAAAACCAAAAAACAAGTATCTAAGCTTACCCAAAAGATTCCAGTAAACGAATTAGGTTTGAAATTTTTATTAAAAAAAATAATTTAAAAAATAAATAAAAAAAAACACATATTAAACGGGAATAAAAAAATCTTGTTAGATCTGCATATTGTAGTATGATATGGATATTCGAATTTTTTGTTTAGATAACAAATGACACTTTTCATTTTAGGTGACAGATAACGCCTGGTAATTGGAAATTCAATAATCTCACATGCTTACATGCTCCCGTATGTTTTTCATACTAAATAACGTTCTTACTCTTTGGCGAAGTGAACGCTGACGAATTCTGTCATACAGAAGATAAATATATTTACGAATAGTCTCGTTTTCTTGATAACTCAAAGATTTTTTTTGTTTTTTAATAGTTTTCATAAGTCAACCTACTTTTTATTCTGATTAACAAGTAACCTGTTTCAAACGTTTTTATTTTTTTTTTAATTTGTTTCTTTCGTGTACTTTTTTTTTTACATTAAGGTTTTGCAACTTGTCGTTGCAAACTTGTGGTTAGATGAAAACGTTCTTTTTTTCTTTTCTTTTTTCTATTTTTCTTTTTTGAATTTATAACGCAAAATATTTATCACGGTTTAGTAATAGTACAAGTGTCTTAACGCAGCGTTCTCAATTTTCTTCATTAAAATGTAATATTTTCAAAAAAAAAACAATACCAAAAAAAAACGAAAAAATATTGAGGGGAAAAAAGAAAAAGAAAAAAATCTAAAGCAGCAGATAAATCGATAGATTAAATCTCGTTTATTTATTCCGTTCGACGAAACGGAACCGACACGAATCCAATAATTTTTCTTTTTCTTTTTTCTTTTTTTCTATTCTTTTCTAATTCGACGATGCATTTCTTGGCAAGCCAAAACAACACGGGATTACATCGAAAAATCATTATGAAGAAGCAAAATATATTGATCATCCTTGTGCAACATAAAAACAATCTATACAAATTGTACAAATACAACGCATTCTATACACATCCCATGATTTTACAATCAATTTGAACATTTTCTTACGAACATTCTGAAATATAGCACAGTTTTATGGCTAACTTCATCCATCCAACATTCGTCATTTTTTTTTCTTTCTGTTCTTCGGATTATTTGTTTTTTGAAGTGAAAAC